ATGCAGCTTTTTGACAGCTTTCGTGGAACCTGCCATGCATGCCATGCTCTGCCTGCCCTGTTGATAGGCTGGTAGACATGTATTTAGGGCAAGATTTTAGATTTGTTTCAAACGAGGCTTTCAATAAATGAAGCAATCTCAGATGAAGTGACTTATGGACTGACCTTTGTGTGTCCATGTCCACCTATTACTCGGTCATGCCTCGACTGATCATATTCAAAATGGTGTGTACTGGTGGCAGTTTTGTTTTGTCTTGAATTCTTTAGCGTAAGGGTTGACAACGAATATGCCAAATATTACAACACCGAAATTCATTTAGTTAACTTTTAACGTTATTAATTAATTTTAGGAGTACCGAATACTGTAAAGAACTGTATTTTTCGCTGGAATTTATTTTCGCTGAAAAGACTTTTGGGGTGTTTTGTATTGAAATTATTTTCACTGATTTTTGATGAATTGAATGTAAGGTATAGAATAAAAAAAACAGTATATTTTATTTTCACATTTTCTCTTCAGCAAAAATAAAGTATTTTACATTAGGTACAATGTTTTATTATGGCCAGTATTTCTGTGGGTAGGTTCTTGTGTTAAGTAAATTCTGTGGTCCGTGTCAATTCGAAAACAAAATGTTTTTTACTCAATGACTTTTTTTTTACAGGTCTTATGGAAGTGTGTTTCAAGCAGTACACAAGGAAACTGGACAGTTACTTGCCATCAAACAAGTCCCTGTCGACACAGACTTACAAGAAATTATCAAAGAAATATCTATTATGCAACAATGTGACAGTCCATATGTTGTGAAGTATTACGGCAGTTATTTCAAAAATACTGATTTATGGGTAGGTTATCTACCATTAGAGTGGATTATTCTACTGATTAAATCGTTAAACTAATTATTCATTGTGTTATAATTAAAGTCCCACTCTGAGACCAATCAACTACTGTAAAATACGCTATTTTCACTGAAGGAATGATTCAGTGAAAATAAAATCCAGCAAATATACCTTTTTTTTCCTATACTTTACATTCACTTGTCAATAATCAGTGAAAATAAATTCAATACAAAACACCGAAAAAGTCTTTTCAGCGAAAATTAATTCCAGCTAAAATAAAGTATTTTACAGTATTCAGGATGGACATGCAGATCTAGGTCTTGAATTATGGAGAAGAATTATGGTGCTGTTTACATTCAGTGTTATGATGTAACTTTTACATTATATGCTGCCACTGTCTCTGTCATCAAAACCACTATGTACCAGTTAACACTATTAATGTTTTATTTTCTCGATTGTTATGGAATATTGTG